CCTCAGGTGATCCTCCTACCTCGGCCTCCCAAAGTGCTGGGATTACAGGCGTGAGCCACCGTGCCTGGCCCAGGTTCTGGAGTTCTTAATTGCAGCAGAGTTCCTTTTACCCTCTGTGCCTAGCTGGCCATGTGCTGCACTCTCTAACCATCCCCCTTCCCCGGGCAGCTGCAGTCCATGGTGGATCTCCTGGAGGGCACCCTGTACAGCATGGACCTGATGAAGGTGCACGCCTACGTTCACAAGGTGGCCTCCCAGATGAACACACTGGAAGAGGTAAGGGCGGGGCTGCCGCCAGAGGCCAGGCTAGTGTGGTGCTGGGGGCTGAGGGCACTGTCCAAAGAGGGCCCAGGAAATCCAGACTTCACCCTGGTGACCATGGGAAGCTGGCCTCCAGCCAGGAACTGGGGGAGGGAAACGCGGGCCACAGGGGCCAGCCTCTGGGGAAGAGGTCTAGCTGGCTCAAGGGCCTCCAGGAAGCTGAAGTCTGGGTGGAGAAACTGAGGCACCTGCTGGTTGTATGAAAGGGGTGTGGAGGGAGCAGGAACTTGCAGTTGGCCTCAGTGCACCAAGATCAGCACCCAAAATTCTGGGGGTACCATTCAAACAAGATTCTTTGGTGGCTGGGCATGGTGGCTCAGTGGCCAGGTGCAGTGGCTCACACCTGTAATCCTGGCACTTTGAGAGGCTGAGGCAGGCGAATCACTTGAGGCCAGAAGTTTGAGATCAGCCTGGCCAACATGGCGAAACCCCGTCTCTACTAAAAATACAAAAATTAGGCATGTTGAGGCACGCTTGCAGTCCCAGCTACTCAGTGGCCGGGTGCCGTAGCTCACACCTGTAATACCAGCCACCCAGGCTGAGGCAGGAGGATTGCTTGAACCTGAGAGGCAGAGGTTGCAGTGAGCTGAGATCGTGCCACAGCCTGGGCAACAGAGCAAGACTGTCTCAAAATAAAAAATAAGATACCTTGTTAGAGTGCCCCCTGGGTTGGTACAACATGGCAGGACTGACCAAACCCACTAGGCCAGTGCCCAGCTGCTGTGGAGGCAGAGGTGCAACGCATCCTGCCCTGGCCAGGGTGAATGTGCTATAGGACTGGGCAGGGGACCAGGACTGCCCTTGGGGACAAGGACAGAGTGGGGTGAGCACAGGGGTCCAAGCTGCAGGTTTGAGGTTTGCATCTCTGCTGGCACAGCCTCACCTCCGCCTGTTTCCTGTATCCGGCCTCTGCTGGGAGCCACTGGGAGCCTCGCGACATACAGCTGCCAGGAGCGGGTGTGGGGGCTTCCTTTCCCAGCTTCCTTTTCAGGGGGAGGGGGCACCTGGGCATCCTGTGCCCCAGGGTGGGAGATTAACCCCTTCCTCCCCACAGAGTTGGGATCACAGTGGCTTTAAGTAATTCAAACAGTATTTGATACGTACCTACTATCGGCCAGGCCCCGGGCGGCAGCGGAGAAAGCTGACACTTGGTGAATTTCTTCTGTGCGCCAGTATTTCCTGGGCAGCTGGTACATGCCAGGCTCTCCTGTTGCTGGCTCTGAAGTTATTCTCCTTTGATCTTTCCTCATGTCACCTCAGGAAATGTTAACCCACTTCATGTAACTCTGAGCCAAGCGATCTGGAGGGTACATCTGCTCGGCCTGAAACAAACCAGAGAGTTTCCACAGCCACAGAGAAATGACTTTGTAATTATCCTCTGTTTCGAGTCATCTGTGCTATGCTCCTGTTAACCATGGTTTACTAAGTGATAACCTTATGTAAAAATTAAAAACAAAAAAATCTTTTGCTCACCCTGGGAGGAGGTGGAGAGAACAGCCTCACTCAGGAGAGGCTGGCTTTCTCTGCCAAAGGGAAGAAACTCCTGGGGGTCAGCTGCAACTCGGTGTCTCGGCTTCCCTCTGCTCCCCTCCCTGACACCAGCAGTTTTCAACCAGGCATGATTTTGCCCCCAGGGGAAAGCTGGCAATAGCTGGAGACATTTTTAGTTGTCACAACTTAGGCAGGGGACAGGATGGATGCTACTGGGCTTCTACTGGTTAGAGATTCTGCTGAACACCCTGCCATACACAGAACAGTCCCCAAAAGCCAACCGCTGTGTGGCAGATGTCAGTAGTGAAGAGGCTGAGCAAATCAGTCATACCCTTTGACTTCTGTCATCACTGGAATCAAGTTTTTTTTGTTTTGTTTGTGTTGTTTTTTGTTTTTTGTGGTTTTTTTGTTTGTTTGATTTTTTGAAACAGGGTCTCGCTCTGTAGGCCAGGGTAGAGTGCAGCCTCAACCCCCCAGGCTCAACTGATCCTCCCACCACAGCCTCCCAAGTAGTTGGGACTGCAGGTACACACCACCACACCCAGCTATTTTTTTTTTTTTTTTTTTTTTTCTGGAGATGGGGCTTTACCATGTTGCTCATGATGGTCTTAAATTCCTGGGCTCAAGCAATCCTCCCGCCTCAGCCTCCCAAAGTGCTGGGATTACAGGCATGAGCCACTGCACCTGACCTCTGGAATCTAGTTTAAAATGCACTTTCATATTCCATAGGCTTTCTGGTCCTCACAGTGACCCTGCCATTTAGCCCATTTTACAGGCAGGGAAACTGAGGCTCGCAGAAGTAGTTACTAGCCCAAAGTTGCCCACCCAGGAAGTAGAGAGCAAGGATTTGAACTCAAGCATATCCGATTCCTGCCTGCTGCCTCTTGGTCCCTGAACCTGAGTCACCCAGGGCTGACTGGATGTCACTCACTTTTAGGTTATCTTTTCCTCCATAATAATTTCTACAAATGAAATTCTGGACCCATAATTCTGTTGCTCTGCAGCTTCTCACCAAACTGGTGCTTTCTGCCTCTGACTCCTGTCTCTCCTGCTTTAGCTGAAAAGTACACTCAGATGAAAGAATCCCAGATCCATTGGAGCTTTGGGGACCTGGTACTGATACCTGCCAGGCCCCCCAGGTTTCCAAGTCCTCAAGGAGACCGCCAGACAGCAGGAGGTTCACAGAGCAGGAGGCATTGTGGTTCTAAGCAGTCTGTCTGCTCCTAGCAGGATTCAGAACCAGGAGTAGATCCAGGAGCTGGTGTGGGAGCTGCTAAAGGTAGGCAGGGAGCCAGAGCCCCAGCAAAGGGAGATGAGGCAGGGAAGGAAAACATGCCTGGGAGTATAGGCAGGGCTCAGTCCCGGGAGAGGAGCCTACACTGCCCAGAAGAGAAGTTGGAGACTTGGAGGGAGCAGAGATTCACCCTCCGCAAAACTCCAAAGGGCTTCACTCCGTCTACATTGGTTGAAGATTTTACAAACAGAAAGTATTTATGTATTATGTATACAATTATTTTAAAGTGGCCAAAGATTGGAAGCAACTTAAGTAACTATCAATAAGGGGTAGGAACAGTGGCTCACACCTGTAATCCCAGCACTTTGTAGGACTGGGGCGGGCAGATCACTTGAGGTCAGGAGTTCGAGACCAGCCTGGCCAACATGGCGAAACCCCTCTCCACTAAAAATGCAAACATTAGCCAGGCGTGGAGGCACATGCCTGTAGTCCCAGCTACTCAGGAGCCTGAGGCAGGAGAATCCTTGAGCCCGGGAGGAAGAGGTTGTTGCAGTTCGTCGAGATCACACCACTGCCTTCCAGCTCTGGGCAACAGAGTAAGACTCCGTCGCAAAAAGAAAAAAGAAAAAGTAACCATCAATAAGGGACTGGGTGGCCGGGCACGGTGGCTCACACCTGTAACCCCAGCACTTTGAGAGGCCAAGGTGGGCAGATCACTTGAGGCCAGGAGTTCAAGACCAGCCTGGCCAACATGGTGAAACCCCGACTCCATTAAAAATACAAAAAATTAGCCGGGCATGGTGGTGGGTACCTGTAGTGGCAGCTACTCAAAAATAAATAAATAAATAAATAAAAAATAAGGGACTGGGTAAATAAACTATAGCCTCTCAAGTGATGGCGTACTGTGTGGCCATGAGAAGGCATGGGACCACTACATATGCAGATATGCGTCGGATCCCAGAATAGGCTGTTCAGCAAAAAAGCAAAGTGTTAAAAACGTGTGTATGTACACATGTGTCCCTCTACATATACAGACTCTCTTTAGAAGGATACGCAAGAAACCTATACTAACTGTTGGCACTGAGAAATAAAGGTGGGAGGGTGACATTTTTATAGCTGTTTATATCTTTCTAATTTAGTACCATGCACATGTATTCTCTATTTTTTTTATTCCTTCGCGTTTTAAATTTTAAAAGTTCATAAATACAGGGTCTCTTGGAGCCTATTTTTTCCGGCCCATACTTGATGGGGCCACCCTCGGCCCATTCAGGGGACTGGGCAGCAAAGCCTAATGACCAAAGCAGGGGTGTCCCTCCAGCCTGGGGCTTCAGAGGAAGCTGGCCCAGGAAAGACCTCCAATCCTGCCCCTCCACAGAGCATCAGGGCCAACCTGAGCCGGGAGAATGAGGTGGTGAAGGAGAGCGTGCGCCACCTCAGCGAGCAGTTGAGGCACTATGAGAACCACTCCGCCATCATGCTGGGCATCAAGAAGGAGCTGTCCCGCCTGGGCCTCCAGCTGCTGCAGAAGGATGCCGCCGCCGCTGCCGCCCCCGACACCCCTGCCACAGGCTCTGCTAGCAAGGCCCAGGTGAGTCCCCAGCTCTGATCACGGGGCCAGAGCTGACTGGGCTTGGAAGCTCCATGTGCCAGGACGTTGGCCCTGAGGGCCAGCTCGTTGGGGTTTGGGGCTGCAGGATGGGTTGAGGGCTGGCACAGCCGGAGAGTCCCTGGCAGGGTGAGGGGCAGGAGATACCTGCTGTGCAGTGAGCACATTCAGCATAGGGAATGGTGACAGACCTGGAGATCCTGCCAAGGGGGCCGGTCCCTAAGCCAGGTATTTGGCAACCTTCTCATTCCCAAGTTTGAAACTAGTGGGGACAAGTTTGTGGAGACAGTACTCTCTGCCTGGCCCTTAGAGACCAGGTTGGCTGCAGCAAACCCGCTTCTAGCCTCTCCTGCTGTGGCTGGGCCCTTGGCTGGGTTGAGCCTGCTCAGGGGGAGATGGGCAATGCCTCGGGGACCCCTGCCGACTGATACCCATTCACCCGACCTGCTCTGGGGTAGAGAACTCCTGCAGCCAACACCCAGACGCTCCACCTCCAAGCTCAGAGCACAGTGAGCAGAGCCACTGCTTCCGTCACTAGGCAGAGCCACACATGACAGATGACACACCTGTGTGCAAATGTGATCAACGTCCTCCCTGTAGGCAGACGAACTGCAAAGCTGGCTCTCCCTCTGACCAGGTGAATGAGAAAGAACAACCACGTTTGGGTAGGCCAGTGGCACAGAGGCTCCTGCCTATGCTGGACATACACCATGGCGTGTGGCTTGGCAAATGGAGTGCAGACTGGATTCAACCCCATTCAGGCCCCTCCAGCCAGTCGCCCCTGGGAAAGACACAAGCCACACCATTGTTCACAGTGGCCTTGTTTTTTGGTGAGTGGCTGAAGAAGGGAGCTGGTATTTGTGGAATTCCTACTTTAAACTTGACTTTCTCACAGACATTGTCAGTGAAACCCATAGTTACCTGAGAGGAGGGGTGAACCCTGCCCATTTGGCAGATGCACAGAGAGGGGTCACGTGGAGAGGGCGTGGCGGAGCTGGGACTGGCAGCCAGGTCTGCGTGACTGCTGAGGCCACCCTTTTCCTCTCTTCCTCTCCACGTCTTGGCCTCCTTTGCGGACATTGTGATAATAGGGCCATTTGTGTCTGCAACTGGAACCGCCTAGATGCCGATAAAGCCGCTAGGAAGCCTGTGCCTTGGCCCCCAACTGGCTTCCTGCCCATTCCTGTGCCAATTCCACAGGCGAGAATGAAGCGTGTTTTGGCAATGGTGCAGAAGGCGCCCAGCTACTGTACTTGCCGTATCTGCTGGAGCTTCTGCCTAACAATGGGTGATGTCACAGGCCCTGTGTTCTCATGCCAAGCCAGCATCAGAGGCATTTCAATAGGAAGTGAAAATAACAAAACACAGAACATTAGAAACGGCATAGCCTGGAGGTTGGGTGTAGACCTCAAGCCTACAAGGGAGCTAGAGAGCTGTAGAGGAAACTGAAGCAAATCAGTCATGGATGTAGCCACCATGGCGGGCGGGGTAAAGGAAAGCTGTGACTTCATGAGCGCTTGGGACGCAGGGTCTGGGGCAACATGACCACCTCCAGCCTCCACGTGCTGAGCCCCCAGGACTCCCCACAATATCCCTTCTACTGTCCTTCAAGTCTGAGACTTCTCTTCCCTCCCAGGACACAGCTGGAGGAAAAAGCAAGGACATCAGCAAGTATGGCAGCATGCAGAAGAATTTTGCAGACAGAGGCCTCCCAAAACCGCCCAAGGAGAAGCTGCTGCAGGTGGAGAAGCTGAGGAAGGAGAGCGGCAAGGGCAGGTTCCTCCAGCCCACAGCCAAGCCCCGTGCCCTTGCCCAGCAGCAGGCTGTGATCCGGGGCTTCACCTACTACAAGGCGGGCAGGCAGGAGGTAACAGAGGCAGTGGCAGGTGAGTAGGGGGGAATGGGGACCCTGGGAAGTGGGGGATGGATGCCTCCTATGAATCCCCTCATCTTCTCTGCAGTCAGACCACCCCAGATACAGTTCCACCCCTTGATGACCTGTTGGGTGCTCTCTGCTTATCCCCATGTGGGAATAACACCCTACTCAGGGGGCTGTTGGGATGAAATCACAGAACCAACCTGAGGGCCACTGGATTGCTTTCCAGTATTTACAGCTGTCTTCACCGTCACTGGACTTTGCTTTTTGCATCTGAAGATGAGCTGAAGGCCCACTCCGACCAGGTGACAGGGAATGGCAGAGACACAGCCCCTGCCCCCACAGATCTCATAGTCTAGTGGGAAAAAATCCCTGTGACCAGGCAGCTGCCACAGGAGGGGCAGGAGAATACAGGGTTCCTGGGAAGTGACCAGGGCTTTTGGGGCTCCTCTCATTTCTTCTCCAGCTCCTCTCTCTTCTTAGATCCCCAAGGAAGAGCCCCTAGACTCTTGTATTTTTCCTGCAGCTCCCTGCTGGATCACAGAGAAGGGTGACGAAGTAACTGGCAAACAAGAGGCAAAAGTTTCAAGACACCCCAAATTTCTGAGCTGTCTCTATGGGTTGTGGTTCCTGATTTCCCTCACTAACACCCTCCCCAGATACCTGCTCTCTTCCGATGTCCCAGAGGGGTGTCCCAAACCTGCTCTTCCCTTCCTGGGTCCTGCTGAACCACCTCCTCCTGCAAAGCCCTCCTTTCAGTCTGTGTGTAAGGGGTACAAGGAGGTGAAAGAGCCAGGGACCAGGCTCATTTGAGATCCCTCTTGTTTCTTGGCCTCTCAGGACTCAGGGATCTCTTCCCCTGGTGCCTGGTCCCAGCTGCTGGCCCAAGCCCTGCCAGCTTGGCCTGGACACGGCACAGAGCCTCTGACCCCTGGCTGGGGCACTGCCTGAAAACAGCTGCAGGCATCTGATTCTGCCAGCAAGGCCTGTGGGAACAGGCACCCTCCCCTGGCAGGCTGCCGAGGCCAGGCCTCCCTGTGGTCCTCCCTGACCAGGGGGATAACCCCGTCCCCACCAGGGCTCCTTTGAGAGCCCTCTTGTTTCTCCAGGCTGCCCACAGCAGGACCTATGCAAAGAGGAAGGCCCAAACGGAGAATAAATGAAGTCAGGTTATTGTCCTCAAGTCAAGGGGTCTCTGAGCCCCTTCCCCAGCTTGCCAGGTGGTCCCCTGGTCCCCGGACCATCATAGTAATAACAGCACCACTCCTTTGTCTCCCTGGTGTCACAGTTTTTTTTTTTTTTTTTTTTGAGATGGAGTTTCCTTCTTGTCACCCAGGCTGGAGAGCAATGGTGCAATCTCAGTTCACTGCAACCTCCGCCCCCTAGATACAAGCAATTCTCCTGCCTCAGCCTCCCAAGTAGCTGGGATTACAGGCACATGCCACCATGCCCGGCTAATTTTTGTATTTTTAGTAGAGCCAGGGTTTCATCATGTTGGCCAGGCTAGCCTCGAACGCCTGACCTCAGGTGATCCACCCACCTCAGCATCCCAAAGTTCTGGGATTACAGAGGTGAGCCACCACGCCCAGCTGGTGTCAGAATTTTCTAAACACTTTTTTTTTTTTCTTTTGAGATAGGGTCTCACTCTGTCACTCAGGCTGGAGTGCAGTGGCACGATCATGACTCACTGCCGTCTTGACTTTCCGGGCTCAAGTGATCCTCCTGCCTCAGTCTCCCTAGTAGCTGGGACTACAGGCACCCATCACCACACCTGGCTAATTTTTTCTATCTTTTAGTAGAGAGAGGGTTTTGCCATGTTAGCCAAGCTGGTCTTGAACTCTAGGGCTCAAGTGATCCACCTGCCTCAGCCTCCCAAAGTCCTGGGGTTACAGGCACCAGCCACTGTGCCCAGCCCTCTGAGCACTTTGATTCATGCCTTTGCATTTGATCCTGGCAGCAGCTGCATTTTCTACGGCAGAGGAATAGAAGCAGGCCTGTGAAATGGGAACAAGAGCTTCTCTCTAGAATTGAATCTAAGGAAATGAGAGAACTGGTAAAACTGCCTGACGCGTAGGAAAGAAAGGGATCTCCTTTTTGGCACCCCATAGTTGCTGGGATCTGTGCACAAGTTTTATGTACATTTTTCTGACATCAACACCACAGTCCCGCATGGTGGGCTCATGACTCTCAGTTCACAGAGGTGGCCCAGCAAGGCAGGGGAACTTGGCTGAGGCCACTCTGCTGAGTTTAGAGCCCTGACTATGAAGTCCTGCCTGCCTCCCACTTTGAAACCTTTCACCCCCTCCACTCCCTGAAGGTCCCTGAGCTGCTGGGAGCCTAGCCGGCCTGAGGGAGACCCACACTGCAGCAGGTGGTGCTGGGATGTGAGCATGGGGTCTTCTCTCTGCAGACAACGCCCTTCAGGGCACTTCCTGGTTGGAGCAAGTGCCGCCCAAGGTAGAGGGCGAGCCCAACTCCGCAGAGCAGGACGAGGCTGAGCCCAGGTCCTCAGAGGGAGTAGACTTGGCTCCTGGCACTCCCACCTCAGTCCCTGCCACCACCACCACTGCCGCCACCCTGACTCCCACCACCAGTCTCCTGCCTACTGAGCCACCTTCAGGTCCAGAAATCTCCAGCCAAGGTGAGTGAGCCTCACAGGGGTCAGCAAACTGTCGCCTGTACCCAAATCTTTTTTGTGCAGCCCTCAAGATAAGAAATGCTTTTTACAGCTGAGCGTGGTAGCTCACACCTGTAATACCAGCACTGTGGGAGGCTGAGACAGGTGGATCATCTGATGTTAGGAGTTTGAGACCAGCCTGGCCAACATGGAAAAACCCCCTCTCTACTAAAAATATGAAAATTAGCCAGGCGTGGTGGTGGGCACCTGTAATCCCAGCTACTCGAGAGGCTGAGGCAAGAGAATCATTTGAACCTGGGAGGCAGAGGTTACAGTGAGCTGAGATCATACCACTGCCCTCCAGCCTGGGCAACAAAATTTTTTTTTTTTTTTTGAGACAGAGTCTCACTCTGTCACCCAGGCTGGAGTGCAATGGTATGTTCTTGGCTCACTACAACCTCCACCCACTGGGTTCAAACGACTCTCCTCAGCCTCCCGAGTAGCTGGGATTACAGACGTGCACTATCACGCCTGGCTAATTTTTGTATTTTTAGTGGAGACGGGGTTTCACCATGTTGGCCAGGCTGGTCTCTGACTCCTGAGATCAGGTGATCTCCCCATCTCAGCCTCCCAAAGTGCTGGGATTACAGGTGTGAGCCACAGTACCCGGCCCAGGTAGTATTTTCAACCAATTCTTCTTAAAACGTCACCTAGAATGCCATCATCAAATCCAGCAACTATTTCTATCTCTTTATTTCCTGTGTCCAATCACTGGCCCTGTTTTGATGCCAGCATTTATAGTTTTGATTTGTGTCCATGGTAGAAGTCTTCCTTATGAAGTCATTGATCCCATCCTTCCGAAGGGATCTTGGCTCTCTGTGGTGACAATCCTTCAAACCCTGTCCCGCTTTGGTCCAAGTGCATTCCACTTCTAGGAATCTTTCCTGAAGGATTCACCAGCAGTGGGAACGACAGCTGCAGCTTAATGGTTGGATCAGGGCCTTATTTCTAATGTCAGAGAACTGGAAATAACCCGAAGGGCTGACATGGAAGGACTGGTGACATACCCGCAGGGCACAGCTGTCCACCACCCTGGCAGAACCTTGAAAGCACATCATTAAAAGGCTATTTAATGATGAGAGAAATTGCTCAATGGAGGCTAAAAACAGGATACACAAAACTGTATACTCACAGCTTTTTAAAGTATGTCTGCATGACTGTACATTGCAAAGAAAAAAGAAAAGGAAGGAAATGTCACATATTTACATTTTTCTTTGGACGGGAGAAGGGTGGGAGGGGTAAGGGATAAAAGACCACATACTGGCTATAGAGTGTATGCTGCTCAGGTGACAGATACATCAAAATCTCAGAAATCACCACTGAAGAACTCACCCACTTAACCAAAAACCACCTGTTCCCCAAAAACTATTGAAATAAAATTTTATTATTATTATTGTTATCGGGCTTTGTTTTGTTTTGTTTTGAGACAAACAAAAGAGTCTGACTCTGTTGCCCAGGCCATAGTACAGTAGTGTGATCGCAGCTCACTGCAACCTCCGCCTCCTGAGTTCAAGCGATTCTCCTGCCTCAGCCTCCGACCAGGCATGGACCACTACGTCTGGCTAATTTTCGTATTTTTAGTAGAGACAGTGTTTCGCCATGTTGACCAGGCTGATTACTCCCGACATCAAGTGATCTATGAAATATAATTTTTAAAAAGAGAATAAAAGAACAGAAAAAAGTTTTTCTTTGGATAATGGAAACTTTTAGGTTTTTAATTTTTTATTTTATATTTTAAGAGTTTAAAATTTTTTAATTTTTTAAAAAGTAAAATCAAAAAGATTAAACAAATTAAAAATTTTAAATGTTTTTGTTGACAAATAAAAATTGTATGTATTCATTTGTTTGGCACACTGCAGAAAGAAAATTTTTTTAATGTATGTATTTATGATTTACAACATGATGTTTTGATATGTGTACACAATGTGAAATGGCTAAACCAAGCTAATTAGCATATATATTACCTCACATTACTTATCTTTTTTTTTTGAAAGAGCGCTTAAAATCTACTCTTTTTTTTTTGTGTGTGTGAGATGGACTCTCGTGCCATCACCCAGGCTGGAGTGCAATTGTGTGATCTCGGCTCACTGCAGTCTCCGCCTCCCGGGTTTCAGTGATTCTCCTGCCTCAGCCTCCTGAGTAGCTGGGATTACAGGCATGCACCACTACGCCTGTAGTGTAACTTTTGTATTTTTAGTAGAGACAGGGTTTCACTATGCTGGTCAGGCTGATCTTGAACTCCTGACCTCAAATGATCCACCTGCCTCAGCCTCCCAAAGTGCTGGGATTACTGGCATGAGCCATCATACCCAGCCTGAAAATCTACTCTTTTAGCAATATTCAGGTATACAATATGTTGAACTTATTTCCATTAGCTAAATGAAATTTCAGATCCTTTAAGCAACGTCTCCTTAATCCCCCCACCCTCTAGTAACCACTTTTCTACTCTCTGCTTTTATGAGTTTGCCTTTTTTTTTTTCTTCTTTTTGTTTTCTGAGTTTGACTTTTTAACTTTTTTAATTTTTAATTTTTTTTTTTTTTTTTTGAGGCAGGGCTTTGCTCTGTTGCCCAGGCTGGAGTGCAGTGGTGTGATCATAGCTCACTGCCACCTCAACATCCCAGGTTCAAGCAATCCTCCCACCTCGGCCTCCCTAGTAGCTGGGACACACCACTATGCTCACCTAATTTTTTTTATTTTTTTATTTTTTTGTAGAGACAAGGTCTTGCTATGTTGCCCAGGCTGGTCTCAAACTCTTGAGCTCAACTGATCCTCCCACCTCAGCGTCCCAAAGTGCTGGGATTACAGATGTGAGTCAGTACACCTGGCCAAGTTTGACTATCTTTCTTTCTTTCTTTCTTTCTTTTTTTTTTTTTTTTTTTTGAGACAGAATTTCACTCTTGTTGCCTGGGCTGGAGTGCAGTGGTATGATCTCTGCTCACTGCAACCTCTGCCTCCCCAGGTCAGGCGATTCTCCTGTCTCAGCTTCCTGAGTAGCTGGGATTACAGGTGCCCCTACCACGCCCAGCTAATTTTTGTGTTTTTAGTAGAGACAGGGTTTCACCATGTGGCCCAGGCTGGTCTTGAACTCCTGACCTCAGGTGATCCCCCTCCTCTGCCTCCCAAAGTGCTGGGATTACAAGCATGAGCCACCGTGCCCGGTCTCCATTCTCTTTTCTGAATGTTTTATGTTTTCAGTAATGATTAGGTATTGCTTTGATGATGAGGATTGGGGAAAGAAGGCCACAAACAAAATATCAGGAGGGATTGAAGTTAGACCCAGATAACATTCCCAGCCCATTGCTCTGGCTGGGGGCTTTGGGGGTCTGTGTACTGATGCTGCCTGCCCTCCTCCCCACAGGCAGAGATTCAAGCTGTGAGGGCACCCTCCGGGCCGTGGACCCCCCCGTGAGACACCACAGCTATGGGCGCCATGAGGGAGCCTGGATGAAGGACCCTGCAGCTCGAGACGACAGGATCTATGTCACCAACTACTACTATGGAAACAGCCTGGTGGAGTTCCGCAACCTAGAAAACTTCAAGCAAGGTCAGGGAGCCCTGAGGTGGAGACGGGGCGGGTATGGACAGCCTGGGGAGGGGTCCTCTTGGAGACTTGGCCTTCCTTGCCTTGTGGGTTTCTATTGTACAGCCTGGCTGAGCTCCAGATTACCAGCCACCCCAAGGAGGGGGGTCTGGGCTGAGGGCGCTGGGCTGGGGTCCCAGTCAGACCCCATGGCACCCCCATGTGCTAGCACCGTGCCAGGAACCAGAATGCAGTGGCAAACAGGATGGACGGGGTCCTGCCCTCACAAGTGTGACTTACCTTCAAGGGGCCAATACTGAGTTTCCATTTGTTGAGTGCCTACCCTGTGCTGATCACCCCCTGTGTGTCAGCTCATGGCAGCCACATACCTCCAGAAGGTGGGGTTATCACCTGTTTTATAGGTGAGCAGGGCCTCAGGCCTTAGAAGAGCTGCAGGTCTGGGCAGGGGCCAGGATGGAGCTGACAGCACAGGGAAGGGCAGAAATCTGGTTATCAGATCTGGGGCGTGATGTGGGGAAGGGGTCATTTAGATCTAGCCTGCCCTCCGGAAATGCACAGTCTGGTGGGGGAGGCAAAGGTTTAAAGAGACAATTTCAGTACAGCATTAGAGGGAGCACTGAGGGGGCTATGGGAACCCAGCCTAGAGATCAGGGAAGACATCCCCAGGGAGGTGATGCTGAGCTGGGACCCGGAAGAAGAGTAGGAGTAAGCCATGCAGAAAAGAGAGGTAAGGGTATTCCAGGCAGAAGGCTCAGCACAGGCAAAGGCCTGGCAATGAGAAGAAGCGTGATGGCCTGGGGTTGGGGGTTAGTGAATAAGAAAGCTAAGGCAGGCCTCATGAGCCACGTAAAGGAGTTTGGACTTAACCCTGAGAGCTGTGGAGTCAGAACTAAAGGCCTGGAACAGGCCGGGTGCCGTGGCTCATACCTGTAATACTGGCACTTTGGAAGGCTGAGATGGGCGGATCACTTAAGGTCAGGAGTTCAAAACCAGCCTGGCCAACATGGTGAAACCCCATCTCTACTAAAAAATTAAAACAAAAATTAGCTGGGCATGGTGGCGAGCACCTGTAATCCCAGCTACTCGGGAGGCTGAGGCAGGAGAATCACTTGAACCCGGAAGGCAGAGGTTGCAGTGAGCTGAGATTGTACCACTACGCTCCAGCCTGGGTGACAGAGCGAGACTCCATCTCGAAAAAGTAAAAAAATAAAGGCCTGGAACAACGAAAATCCTTCCTCCACTAGCTCAGAATTGGCAAGCTGTCTGCTCAATCAGCTCACAGGCCGGTGGAGGAAGCCAGTGATAAGCATCAAGGTGAAAGCCTCTGTCCGATGGCTACAGATGTGCCCTGGGGAGAAAAAAAAGACAAAGCTATGGGAGGTTAGAGGAGGGGCCCCTCACTCAGGCTAGGGAGGTCAGTGAAGGTTTAAGGTTTCCTAGAGGAGGTGACATTGGCCTGGGGCTCTGAAAGATGGGCAGGCATTCCCTAAGCTGATGACCTGGGGAACAGCAGTCCTAACTAAGGAACAGCAGGGACAAAGGCCTGGAGACAAAGAACAGGGCTGATGTCACTCTGTGTCTCAATCCTAGCTGTGCCACTCCAGGGCTGGGTAATCTTGACTCCTCTGAGCCTGTTTCCTCTTAAGCAGGTGGGATGATGATAGACCTCGTTCCGGAGATGCTTGTGCCGTAATAAGATGTCAGCCCAGCTCCAGGCACACTGTACATGCTTGGTATCAGTTGCCTACTGGGCCACTGAGAGTCCTTGGTGATCTCGGGGGATGTGGGTGGGCTGGGGTTGCTTGGGAGGTCTGGGGTGACCATCGCCCTCCGCCTGCAGGCCGCTGGAGTAACATGTACAAGCTGCCCTACAACTGGATCGGCACGGGCCACGTGGTGTACCAGGGTGCCTTCTACTACAACCGCGCCTTCACTAAGAACATCATCAAGTACGACCTGCGTCAGCGCTTTGTGGCCTCCTGGGCTCTGCTGCCCGATGTGGTATATGAGGACACCACACCCTGGAAGTGGCGTGGCCACTCGGACATTGACTTCGCCGTGGACGAGAGTGGCCTGTGGGTCATCTACCCTGCTGTGGATGACCGTGATGAGGCCCAGCCCGAAGTGATCGTGCTGAGCCGCTTGGACCCCAGCGACCTCTCGGTGCACCGGGAGACCACGTGGAAGACGCGGCTGCAGCGGAACTCCTACGGGAACTGCTTCCTGGTGTGCGGCATCCTGTACGCCGTGGACACCTACAACCAGCAGGAAGGCCAGGTCGCCTACGCCTTCGACACGCACACGGGCACCGATGCACGCCCCCAGCTGCCCTTCCTCAATGAGTACGCCTACACCACCCAGATCGACTACAACCCCAAGGAGCGTGTGCTGTACGCCTGGGACAATGGCCATCAGCTCACCTACACCCTCCACTTCGTGGTCTGAGTGGAGACCGGTGTCCCCTGGAGAGGGGCAGCAGTGCAGGGCAGGTTCCCCACACCAGCTCCTGCAACTGACCCAATCCACAAATATTTATTGGAGGCCAGCCCAGGGCTGGGACTGAGCATGAGGTGGTCACCAGGTTGAGCTTCCTCAGCACCCAGTGGGTAATACTTGCTTCTACTTGCAGAGCACTGTGCCAAGCACTTTCCGCTCACTTACCCATTGATTCTCCCAGCACCTCCTTGGAGGTAGAGATCATGAACCCACTTAACAGATGAGGAAACAGAGGCTCAGAGAGGCACCATCCCTTGCCTAACACCTCAGTTGTGATCAGGCAGGCTGTGCTGTCACGACAGCCCCATTTTACAAATGAGGAGACTTTACCACGCCCTCCCCTCCCTGCCCTTCCCATCTCCCCTGGTCTCCCTTGTTCTCTAAACCCTGTCTCCCTTCCCAGGGCCACTCAGAATCAGAGGCCTTGGGGGCCAGTCCACTGGTGTGGGGTGGGTGGAGGCCCCGGCTCTGCCTGCCATCCCAGGGCCCTGTCCTGGCTGAGCTGTTGGTGGTTCTGGGCTTTGGGCCCCTTGCCCAATGTCCTTGCCTCTTGCCTTTGGCCAGCCCCCCCAGCCCAGCCCACCCCACCCGCTGTCCGGCCGCATTCCAAACCTCTACCGTCACCTAGCTGCCGAGCAGAAACCGCACCCCGAGAGAAAATCCCAGCCTCTGTTCCAAGGCCCCTCTCTGCTCCATGCTCATTTTTGTTTTTTCTTATTCTTCATCAGTGCTCTCATTTGTTTCTGCAGCAGCAGCTGAGAAGGCAGCAGGCAACTCAGGGTGGGGAGCTCAGCTGAGGCTCCCTCTCCACCCAGAAGCACTGGTGTTGGTCACATAGTCAGGCCTTGAGTCCCCTCCCTGGTTCATCCCAGAGCCTTTGGGCCTGGAGTCCACCTTGTCCTTTTTCTCTGGGCTTTCAAACCCACAACCTTTACACACTCAGGGATACCTCCAGGTCTGCCATGAATAAGACCCTAGGCCCAAGGCTGGTGTGGTGCCAGGATGGCACAGGTTCCTTCTTCCTTGCCAGCCCTGACCTGGTCACTGGGGAGGCTGACTCAGCAGCCTGGGGGCTACAGAAGACACGGTGTGAGTAGTTGGGTCCAGGGGAGGCATCAGGCATTCTTCTGGTTGCAGGAGAGAGCCAGAGGGTGGAAGTGGAGAGGGAAGAACTGGGGGTCTGCAGACTGGACTTATCCTGGCTTCAGAGACATTGTTGCCAGGGCTGCCCCAAGCCCAGGACTTCAGTTGAGGATGCACAGCTGGGCGACCTCACCCGGGGCCACTGATGGCTCCCTGGAGTCTCAGACCCACACAGCCCAGAGGACAAGGCCTTCAAGCCTCTCCCTCTTCTGCTTTTTTAGACAATATTTTTAGTGCTGGAAAGAAATTCTCTAGCCCAACTCCCTGTTTCATGAAAGAGAAAATAGGCTCAGAAACGTTTGGAGAGCAGCTCAGAGTCGCAGTGGAGCTGGGCACAGCTGACCTCCTTCCAGAAGGGCTCTGTCTGTCTCCTTTATTCTCCCCATATGGAGGCTGCCCTACCTGGGAAGGCACCCCAGCCACCCCAGCACCTATGAAGGGCATTTACTGCTCATCCCCACCCACCCCCTGGCCCTTGCTGCCTTCGTTCTGTCCAGTGCCAGGTCCAGCAATGTCTGTATGTTTGAATACCAGTTGCCATGTTAGGAAAGTCAGCTGCACAGCTAAGAGTGTAAGGAAATGCTTTTTTTTTTTTTTTGAGATGGAGTTTTGCTCTTGTTGTCCAGGCTGGAGTGCAGTGGTGCGATCTTGGCTCACTACAATCTCCACCTCCTGGGTTCAAGCAATTCTCCTGCCTCAGCCTCCCTAGTAACTGGGATTACAGGCGCTTGCCACCACACCAAGCTAATTTTTATATTTTTAGTAGAGACAGGAGTTTCACCATGTCGGCCAGGCTGGTCTCCAACACCTCACCTTAGGTGATCCGCCCCCCTCGGCCTCCCAAAGTGCTGTGATTACAGGCATGAGCCACCGTGCCCAGCTAGGAAAAGCTTTTTGTGCAGAATACACTTTTTTCGGGCATTGTCAGGTGACGTTTTGTTTAAGCTCTTAACTCACCCCTGGGATACAGGGGAATGATGACACCCAGCCCAGCCAGGCCTGACTCATCATGGTCACATCCAGCCCCCACCCCCAGCCAACCAACCGCTGCAGGCTCCTCTTACAGACGCATCAGGGGGCTACAAGGCCCGGCATCTCCCTTGGCCCTGGGTGTGGGTTTCACGAGACTGTGTCTTTTGTGACATCATAGCCCAACCATGTGAGAAGAAAGAGAAGGCCTCCCCTTTCTTCATTAATCTAAAAAAAGGAAAATGAGAATAGGCTGATTTCTAAAAGTTACAGGACAAGCAGCATTGCATTCTGGGGGAACAATGCTGGCCACAGCCCCCAAACATTCACTACGCCTCTTCTATTTTCAGACCCTTATAAGTGGGTTATGTGGTGGATATTGTCAGTTTTTTGTTTTTCTTTTCTTTTCTTGAGGCAGTTTTGCTCTTGTTGCCCAGGCCAGAGTGCAGTGGCGTGATCTCGGCTCACTGCAACCTCTCCCTTCCAGGCTCAAGAGGTTCTCCTGCCTCAGCCTCCTGAGTGGCTGGGATTACAGATGCCCACCACTGTGCCTGGCTCATTTTTTCTATTTTTAGTAGAGAGAGGGTTTCACCATGTTGGCCAGGCTGGTCTTGAACTCCTGACCTCAGGTAATCCACCCATCTTGGCCTCCCAAAGTGTTGGGATTACAGGCGTGAGCCACTGCGCCCGGACAGTTTCTTCATTTTACACATGGTCACACTGGAGCCTAGAACAGTGAAGTCACTTGTCACATAGTCAGTTGAGTAGAGAACCAGGTTTTAAAATCAGGTGAGAAAACCATCATTGTTAACTGAGCACCACCTGTGCTAAGCCTGCCACGGGCACGTCCTTGCAGCCTCATAACAGTGGAAGGTCTATATCCTGAATGTGCCCATTTTATAGATAAGGACACTGAGGAGAACAGACTTATCCAGGCTAACACAACAGCTCAGCCCGTTGCAGGCGCTGGTCAGTGCGTGTTCTTTGCCACCAGCCTGTCACTCCAGTAGCCGCTCCAGAAACGGTGGCTGTGGCTTTTATCCACAAACTGGCATCCACAGAAAAGCCCCAGGAAGGAGGTTGGGGCCAGCTCATAAAAAGCCTCAATGCCAAGCCAAAGAGTGAATACCTCCAGCCATTTTTTAGAACAAAGTCATGTATAAATTTACAGAGAAAATATTCGAAGACAGTTGGATGTTGTCCTGTTGGTGAGGAAAGGAAGGGAAAGGTTTTTGTTTTGGGGAAATGGAACCAGCCCACAACTGCACACGTGAGCTCTCATGGAAACCTGACCCCCAACAGCTTTTGAGGGTTCTTGATTTTTTTTTTTAATCTGTCTTGGGCTTTATTATTTTTGGCAAAAGGTACTTCAAACAAGGGAGGGCCTGGACAGAGGAGGGCCAGGTCTTCTTACTGACCTAGTCCACAAAGGCAAAGGAGGCTGTCTCGGGTGTTCCTGAACGGCGTGACACATGAAGGGGCTTTGGCTACCCCTTGGGTTCCTCCCTAGAGACTTGCAGCTCTTAAATTTAATCTGCTCTGTCGGGGGCAGGGCAGGTGTAGAGAATGGAGCTCCTGCCTTGGGGGCAGTGCTAAAAGTGGGGCTTCAGGATTTTCCTGGGAATGATTTGAGGGCTCCTGAAAGGCCGTGTGTTCCCAGGTGCCTTTTCCTCTGGGACAGCATGGGAAGCTGCTGTCAGGGCAGAGCACGGCACGGATGGCTGGCAGAGAGCCCTGGCTCGGAGTCAGGGTGCCCTGGTCGGAATCCAGCCCCACCTTTCATGCCACAGGTTTGCTCAAGTTCTCTCCCCTTCAGGGTAGGGCTGTGAAGTCCCTCTTACAGCTAAGAACATGCACTTAGTAAGGATGAGACCCACCTAGAGCTTTACCACTAATCCCCTCTTCCGCCGGAGCCCCAGGGCCGGCATTATTTCTCCCCACTACAGGTGATGAGCCTCAAGTTCAGAGCGCTTCAGCAACCTGCTCAGGGTCACGTCTCTAACAGGCAGTAGACTCAAGGTATAAACCAGATCTGCTTCTGTACCAAAGTCCCAAACTAACTGTTGGTAGGAATCTTGTAACCAGCCATGTTTTCTTACTTGCTTTGGCCGTTGGGAAGCTCAAAGTCAAATTTGAGACCCTTTTTTTAACAATTGTGCTGAGTCTACTACTAGATGCACTTCATTCTAGCTTTCTGCTTTTACCTTTGCCCTAATCTTTTTATTTTTATTCTGTTGTACTTTATCTACTATCTATTTTTGTAAGTTGCCAAGATACCTGTTTTGCAACAAGATGTGATATATCTAAATAAAGACATGTTCAAAGGTTTGATCTAAAAGGCTGGGCTAATGCTGTGGTCCATATCCTTATCACAACACATACATTTAATAACTTTTAAAATAAATCGTTTGCCTGCCGGGCACCATGGCTCACACCTGTAATCCCAGCATTTTGGGAGGCCAAGGCGGGCAGATCACCTGAGGTCGGGAGTTCGAGACCAGCCTGGCCAACATGGGGAACTTTGTCTCTACTAAAAAATACAAAAATTAGCTGCGCATGGTGGCGCACACCTGTAGTTCCAGCTACTTGGGCGGCTGAGGCAGGATAATTGCTTGAACCCGGGAAGCGGAGGTTTCAGGGAGCCGAGATCATGCCACTGCACTCCAGCCTGGCGCCTGGTGACAGAGTAAGACTCTGTCTCAAAAAACAAACAACAACAAAAAAAATTAGAGGACACTTTATAAGTTGGTAGCAAAAAAAACAACAAATCCGGCTTTTTTCGGGTTTTTTGTTTGTTTGGTTTTGGTTTTTGTTTTTTTTGAGACAGAGTCTCATTGTGTCGCCTAGGTTGGAGTACAGTGGTGTGATCTTGGCTCACTGCAGCCTGCACCTCACAGATCCAAGCAATTCTTCTGCCTCAGCCTTCTGAGCAGCTGGAATTACAGACACGCACACCACGCCCAGCTAATTTTTGTATTTTTAGTAGAGACAGAGTTTCACCATGTTGGTCAGGCTGGTCTCAAACGCCTGACCTCATGATCCTCCTGCCTCGGCCTCCCAAAGTACTGGAATTACAGGAGTGAGCCACTGCACCAGGCCAAAAAAAACACTTTTAAACAAATGTTTAAGGAGGAACCTGTGTATTACAACAGTAAAAAGGAAGCCATTGGCAATGACCACAAGCTGGGATACTACATTGATAATGGGCACCACTGGTGCCTTCTGATAGAGGCTTTATCTGCTGGGCCTCAGGCCCCATAGCCCTTTGTTAAAAAAGAAGATTAGAGGCTGGGGATGGTGGCTCACACCTGTAATTCCAGCATTTTAGTAGGCTGAGATGGACGGATCGCCTGAGGTCAGGAGTTTGAGACCAGCCTGGTCAACACAGCGAAACCCCATGTCTACTAAAAATACAAAAATTAGCCGGGTGTGGTGGTACATGTCTGTGATCCCAGGTACTTGGGAGGCTGAGGCAGGAGAATCTCTTGAACTCAGGAGGCAGAGGTTATAGTGAGCCAATATCTCGCCACTGCACAGCCTGGGTAACAGACCAAGACTCCATCTCAAAAAAAAAAAACGGAAGACCAGCAAGTGTTTAGGGGACATCAAGGGTACAGTGGACAGAAAGGGGCAGCACATGCACATTGTCCTCGATATACTCAAAGAGATAGGATGGAAAGGGAACAGCTTTCTCCCGTAAGATTCAGGCCGTCACATGGCAGCTTAGGTACCACGGAGGAGCTGTCTCAACTACCCATGGGTAGACTTGGATTATGGGCAACTCCACCCCCACATACACAGACACACAGATGCCCACAGACACACTCACTCAGCCAGGCCTCCCTCCCCAGCCTCCCTCAGCGGGAGACCAGATTTGGCAAACCTGGGCATTATCCCTGTAGCCCCTGGCAATGATAGGGGTCCTGCTCTACACAGACCAACCAGAAACGCAACAGCAACGCCACTCCACCACAGCCGTGCCCAGTGGAGCCACACCCCTCTCACACCGCACACACCCCTGGGGCCGTCTCTAGTCCCATGCAAGCCAAATGGCTGGGCTTTGGGTGACCTGGATCATGGCAACTCTCCCTGAGCCCTTCACCGGCCCATCTGCTCCCCACTACTCCACCTTTCCTGGCTTAAGACCCCAGCCAGAGGCCCGGCATGGTGGCTCACACTGGTAATCCCAGCATTTTGGGGGGCCAAAGCTGAAGGATCACTTGAGCCTAGGAATTTTAGATCAGTCTGGACAACAGAGTGAAACCCTGTCTCTGCAAAATATTAAAAAATTAGCTGGGCATGGTGGTGCGTACCTATAGTCCCAGCTACTCAGGAGGCTAAGGTGGGAAGATCACATGAGCCTGGGAAGTCAAGGATGCAGTGAGCCCAGACTGTGCCACTGCACTCCAGCCTGGAAAACAGAGCAAGACTCTGTCTTTTTTTTTTCTGAGATGGAGTCTTGCTCTGTTGCCAGGATGGAGTGCAATGGCACGATCTTAGCTCACTGCAACCTCCACCTCCCAGGTTGAAGTGATTCCTCTGCCTCAGTCTCCCAAGTAGCTGGGACTACAGATGCGCACCATCACACCTGGCTAATTTTTTGCAAGACCCCATCTTAAAACAACAACAACACAAAACTCCAGCCAGCAGGGTCCCTCTCCCTGGTACACGAGTACCTGCACCTACGCATGGCGACCTCCCTATCAGCACTCAGGTCCCTGCTAAAATGTCCCCGCCCACGCTAAAGTTGGCCCCAGTCCCATGCTGTCACGTCTCCTTTCACTAATTACTATTAACTTTTTTTTTTTTTTGAGATGGAGTGTTGCTCTTGTCGCCCAGGCCAGAGTACAGTGGTGTGATCTCAGCTCATCGCAATCTCTGCCTCCTGAGTTCAACAGATTCTCCTGCCTCAGCCTTCTGAGTAGCTGGGATTACGGGCATCCAACACCATGCCTGGCTAATTTTTGTATTTTTAATAGAGACAGATTTTCACCATGTTGGCCAGGCTGGTCTTGAACTCCTGACCTCAGAGGGTCCACCTGCCTCAGCCCAAAGTGCTGGGATTACAAGCATGAGCCACCATGCTGGCCACTAATTACTATTAATTTATGAGTTTACCTGTGTCACACCCATCTCCCCTCGGTGGAATCTGAGTGCTCTGTGACAACAGACCTTGTTCCCCACTGCATCAGCACCCAGGAGACTCTCAACAAATGTCCTCAAATAACCACCTGATGTATGTTCAGACCTTGGGCAAGTTCATACATGACCTCCTGAGCCAGCCACCCTTGGCTCTGAAGCCATGGCTGCTGCCCAAGCTACACTTCTTTCATTTATTGGTGCAGCAATATTTGTTAAGTCAGGTTCCACACAGAAATATCTAGAATGCCATCTCAGATCATGGAGGCTGGAGAGCAGGCAGGATATTACCAGTGACTCTCTTCATCTTGCAGTTGTAGAAAAATGAGAAAACCCATCCTCAGAGAAAACACCTGCCTGAAACCCCCTACCCTGGTCTGTAACCAGGGGCTTGAATGGCAAAAAAAGAAAAAGCTGTGGCCTTTCTCTTGTCTGTGGCAATAACACAGCACGGGGTACAGCAGGCACGTGGCTGTGTCCTGATCCACTGTTCAAGGCAACTCTGTGGCCCACAGAAGCTGAAGCCATAGAGCTCTGTGGGCTTGGGGGCTGGACGGGCTTTCTCTGACCTTTATCAGCTTGGTGGACAACATCACATGCCAGAAAGAGCAGTCACCAGGTGATTGTGTGTAAGCTCTTAGCCTGAGGTCCAGTGCGTGGTGGGCGTTCAGCAAGCGGTGGCTACTCTCAGGGTTGTGACCAGGTAGTTCCCAGCTCAGAGAATCTGCTGGCTGTCCTGACAGGTCTGCATGTCATGCACCGTGGGCTGTGCGCCATAACCCATACCTTCCATGTGCCAGGCTCAGAGGCAACAAATTCAGTAAGACCCATCCCTGCCCTTGAGAGCCTGCTGGGAGTGGGGAAGCCACACTCGATGACACCCTCTTGGTGAGCTTACTGCTGGAAAAGTGGAGAGCCAGGGGCCTCCACTTGTCTTGCTAAGGAGTGTGGGCTGCTCCTGGAGCCACAGGAGCCACGGAGCGGCCCACACCTCCCAACCAGCTTCCAGATCTGGGCAAGGGAGCCTCCCTGGTCACCTCGAGTGGTACAGTCCTCGAGAGGGACCTCTTTAGACATTTTTCCTGGGACTTCAAGGCCCTAAATCTCCCTGTGGCCAGGGTGGGAAAGGAATGAATAGGAACCATCCGCAGGAGCTACATGGACTGAGCCTTTGCTCCGAGCCAGGTGTGGTGGAGTCTTTATGGCACTACCTCGTTAAATCCACCCAGTAACCCTATGAAATAGGTACTGTTGTTGCCCACGTCTCACAAGTGAGGAAACTGAGGCACAGGCTGCTACAGTGCTCAAGGCCACACAGCTGGAAGTGGCTGAGATGCATTGCCACCCTCTCAAAACACTGTGTCAATGGTCCCCAACCTCAGCTCACATAGGCTCATGTCAGAATCACTGGAGAATGTCAAAAGGTGCTGGTGCTCGGATGCCACCCTGGACTATATGCCAGTCCGTGGGAGCAAGGACTGAAATTTGGAGGGTTTTATTTTGTTTATTTTTATTTATGGGTGTATTCATTTTGAGAATGATTCTCACTCTGTTGCCCAGGCCGGAGTGCAGTGGTATAATCATGGCTCACTGTAGCCTTGACCTCCCAGGCTCAGGCTATCCTCCAGCCTCAGCCTCCCACGTAGCTGGGACAACAGGCGCACACCACCATTCCCAGCTAAGTTTTTTTATAATTTTTTTTTATAGAGATGAGGTCTCACTATGCTGCCCAGGCTGGTCGAAAACTCCTGACTTCAAGTTATCCTCCTGCTTGGTCTCCCAATGTGCCGGAATTACAGGCGTGAGCCACCATGCCCAGCCATTTTGGATGGGATTGATTGATTGATTGATTGATTTTGAGACGGAGTCTCACTCTGTTGCCAGGCTGGAGTGCAGTGGCACAATCTCAGCTCACTGCAACCTCTGCCTCCTGGGTTCAAGCCATTCTCCTGCCTCAGCCTCCCAAGTAGCTGGAAGTACAGGTGCCTGCCATCAAACAGCTAATTTCTGTATTTTTGGTAGAGATGGGGTTTCACTATGCTGGCCACACTGGTCTTGAACTCCTGACCTCAGGTGATTTGCCCACCTTGGCCTCCCAAAGTGCTGGGATTACAGGTATGAGCCACCACACCCAGCCTGCTTTGGGTGGGTTTTAAAAGCTCCCCAGGAGATTGCGCCATGCATTCTGGGTAG